GAATTGCCTTCCTTTTGCAGCCAAACACACCTTGTCCCGGCACAAGAAAACATTTTAAATGTGTGTGCTGTTTTCAATTATTTTTACATTGTCGATAAATTAAAATAATGAATAAGAAAAAATTCAAACTGATCTTGAAAGCAGCTGCTGCTGCCCAATCAGCAGTTGTTGAAACTCATGGGTGAAAAGTTACTAGTTGTTTTTAACTTTACTTGTGTACCTGCAGATCTACTGGCACTTTGTCTGCTAATTCTTCATCATGGTATCAGTTCTATGTGAACAATTGGCTTTACTTCTACACAGAATGTAGTTGTTTTTTTTTTAAACATTCAGCACAACACAACAAACACAAGGCACCACAAACGACTTGTCTGTTGTCCAATTCAGCAGTATTTTACAGTTGTATATCAAATTAAAGTGCAATTCATATTATCCTGAAGTAATTAATGCACAAGCAAAGGCGCCTTACCTGAAAAGAGCACATGAGGGTCTCATCCACACTCATCATGGCACCAGCATTGTCAAACTCCCCACAATAGTTAGGCGCTGAGAACAAAGTGACAAGCTGCCTCTTTGCAAAGAATTCATAGCCATCCTCAACAACCTGCAAGTGAGAGAATAGTAAAAAGGCTCACTTAAACAATATAATATAATGTGTAACATGAAGAGATGTCACATACAGTCTAACGCAGTGGTTCCCAAACTGATGGATCAGGACCCCAACAAGAGCTCCATGCCACCCAAAATATGCTTTTTATTCAGACTGTCCTCAGGTCCTTCCTTTTTTTTCTTGTGAATCACTGGATAATGTGACCTCTTTAGGTTACTCAAATAAAACAACGGGGGAAAAACATCTTCAGTTGAACTGGTCACAACCGCTAGACATTAGGAACCAGGGATCAGGGTTCACATAGACATTGCCTTATTTTGAGGAGTCACAAACCAAAAAGGTTGGGAACCAATGTCCAGTGTACACAGTACGTGACGTTCTGCAGTCCTTGTACCAAGTGTATCAGCATGTCTGGTGACCTGCCAATATACAGCCACGTCAAAGTCACTTTTCTGTTTAGAATGACACTGTTGTGATTGTGAATACCTGATGGGCACGACAGATTAGATCCAGGTCATGCTTGTGTAGGAACTTGGCCACCACCTCTGAGCCAAAGGTAAACGATACACCCCTGTCGTTCTCCCCCCAGCCCAAAACATCCTTGTCTGGATCAGACCAGAGCAAATCACACAGCAGACCCTGGTCGGGCACATCAGTAGGGCGCATGATGCGTCTGATCTGCTCCATGGATTGAAGGTCAGGTGACAGTCCTAAACAGAACGGCAGAAAAAGTACAAATAAACACCAGTATTGAGGTCAGTACCTATTGCACAAGGGTGAGGCCCTACGTCAGTTGACAAACTATGCAGACAGCATTACGCATGGACAGATGAGAGTGGCTGATGACAAAGGTAGATTTGACGTTCTGGATAAAACTAAAACGGCCACAGTTATGATTGTATTTAAGGGAAATGTGTATTAAAAAAAATAAAAAAACACACCCATCACATTGCTAGAATATTGTTTTCATTTCAATTTCAAAAACAAAAACCCACCTCCATGGCAGCAAAAGATCTTCTCATCAACAATAGCTGCAATAGGGAGGCAGTTAAAGCAATCCGTGAAGGTCTTCCAGAGTTTGATGTTGTACCTTCTTTTACCTAAAAAGTTCAAAAGATTATTTCAATTAAGCATTATTTCACAGCAGTAAGAACACTTCTTCTGCTGCATGTGCAGAGTTCCACCAAAAAAGCTCAACCATATAGACCCTGTGTGAGGACTAAGGCCCCATCTACACTACTGCATTTCTGTTTAAAAATACGATTTCCGTCCACACCAGCGTTTAAGCTGGTCGTTTCAGACTGGGAGCCGTCGCAAAGTAAAAGGCGACATGCACAGTACAAGTGCAAGCTATAAGTGTTATTTGCACAGTACAAAATATTTTTATAAATATAACAAATCAAAAACTATGTCAGCAGCATTGTGTTTCTGCTTTGCATGACTTATAAGAGAGCCAAACTTGAGCGTCTGTGTCATTGTTCTCTGTTTTAAGATAAAAACAGAGAACAATGACACAGCCTCTGTTTTAAGACAAAAACGCAGTAGTGCGGATGGGGCCTAAAAAAGCCAAGTCAGAACATTTCTGTGCTGCAAAGTGCACTAAAGCCACCCAGCATGGAACACAAGAGACAAAAATCAGAAATGAACTTAAACCATCACTGCTACAATACATGAAACAAAAAGATATTAAATTTGGAAATATTTTTATAGCCATGGAGGCACACCACTTACACTCGTCATAGAAACCATATATTCTGTTGATTGAAGCACACTCGTGGTTTCCCCTCAGCAGGAAGAAGTTCTCTGGGTATTTGATTTTGTATGCCAGCAGAAGACAGATGGTTTCCAGAGACTGCTTCCCCCTGTCCACATAGTCACCCAGGAACAGGTAGTTGCTTTCTGGAGGGAAACCCCCATACTCAAACAGCCTCAGCAGGTCATAATATTGCCCGTGGATGTCACCTGCAGGACCAGGGTAAATGAATGCACCAAACTGAAGTACATCTAATTGTTTTTCACTCATAATTTGCCTTCACCTCCTTGGTGAAATTTGAATATAAAAGCCAAAATGCTTCTTATAAGAATAACATACACATATACACAATAACCTTACTTACCACAAATCTTGAGAGGGGCCTCCAGCTCCAGAAGGATGGGTTGACTGAGAAAGATCTCCCTGGACTTGAGGCATAATCCACGAATCTCATTCTCCTGCAGCTGCACATTCTTGCCAGGCTTTGCCCCTCTGACTGCAACAACAAACAAACGAAAAATCAGAAAGAAGTTGAACACGGGTCTAGCTAAGGTAGCAAGGCCTGCGACAGTCTCTCTGTGCTGAGGCTGTGAGGGACAAACGCCAAACATTGTATAGCGCGCGTTGTAACGTTAGTAAGTAAGTAAGGTCATGTCGTTTAGTGCCCTTCAGCTGCACCATCTTTCTCAACCCAGACAAAAAAATAAGTGGAAACTGGTGACTGGCCTTAAAGAACGGCAAGTCAACGAGTTATTTAACAAGATGTTGACAAACATACGGATGCGCTACAGCTAGCCGCCTATCTAACGTTAGTGTTTGTCATGACAGCATTCCGCTCATCTAAATAATGCGAGTGTTTTATAGATATTATTTCAGCATTTTCTTACCTTCTAAAAGACGCTGGATGATACTGTCAATGTTGAGCTTGTCAACATCAGCCATTGCAACGTTGGCGTTAGTAAAATCGATTCTTGGCGTTAACACACTAGTGAAAGCTAGCCCGCTAGCTATCCTGGCATTAGCTACCCAACGTTAGCTTCGTTGATTTAGGCGCTTCTGTTTAGCTGCTCGTTGACACTTTTGACAATCGAATGTTCTACTTAGACATCGCAGTTTAAAAAAAAAAAAAAATCTACATCCAATGTTTGCTTTTGCTAAGAAGCAGGAACTTAAAAAAAACAAACAAACGTCAAGCACACTAGCCCCGGTAGCTAGCGAAAGCGTCCCGTCTATGTTTTTCTCTGCCGCACCTTGTAGTACGAGGCTGCTGCTTCAAGGAGGCTGCTGGTGTCTGCTCCGCTGCTGCCCCCTACTGTATTGGATGGAGAAAGACTCTTTAACCCATTTAGATAAAACTGAGTTTCTGACTGTAGAAACCGATTACAAGACAGAAATCCTATATTTACGTATATGTGTGTGTTTTATATCATAAAGGCTATAAAATCCTCATACATAATAGATTTAAAGATTTGAAAGACAGGGGACAACTATGGTATTAAGAATGGTCAGAATAACACAAGAAAGCAATTGCATTAATATTATTATTTACAAATAGCCAGTTGGAGCAGCTCTAAGTCCTAAATCCATAGTAGTAGTAGTAAGATGTAGTCCAGAAATGGATAACTATTTACCAGCTAGTTATGCAGCATTTTGGGAGGTACAAAGGAACAACTGACAATGATGCAATAATTATTGGCCTACTTATTTCAGCAACATACAACCTATATGCCAGTTTTGTTGAAAAAACAAGCCCTTTAGTATTTTGACAGCTATAATATATTGACAAGGAACACATTCATACCATTCCTGCTCATACATTTAAAGGAGAGTACTGCTATGAAACTTCAATGTAATGTGATTTGGCAAAGCACACATGGAGTCTGGCAAATTAAAGATTACATATCCCTTTAACAAATGTAACACATTTCAAGAGCAATCAAATGAAGTTGCGCTGTTAACTTTAACTACAGTTTAGGCTTATCATTGGCAGAAAGTCAGTGCAATGTAGATCTTTTCATCAAAAATGGACCTGATGGAGGTTGTGTCATTAGCAAATAATTTAATTCATCTGTATTTTAATCTCCCGGTGACCCTGTACGCAGGATAAGCAGTTGACGATGGATGGACGGATGGTATTTTAATATTCCAAAAATTGGAACACTTTGAGTAGGAAAGGATTCATCCCTAAATACACTTTGTACTATATTTGAAATATACTCTGTAAGACTTAGCTTAGTGCATAGAACCTTTTTGATTGGACATTGGATTTTATTTTTTAACCTTTGCATAGCCTACTGCACAGTCAGCACTGTAGTAATACTCAAACAATATTCAGCTAATGAAATATTACTTGTGAAACAGCCTTTTCTGCTGCAGCTATGGGAGGTTAAGCCGGACACAAATCTGTCTCCCTGGAGCCAAATGGACAAGCGTAATTGTTGTTTCTTACACTGGGATTAGCTAACATCCTCACAGGCCTGCAGGTTTAACCTCCTGACCACTGGAAATTTCCTTCATCATCAAAAGTTTGTGGTTGTGCAAATATGCATGAGTGGATCTTTGCAAAAATGTTCCTCAGTGCTACTGCCAGTGATTCATTCATTCAGAAAAAATAACTCATAGCATGTAAACAAACACTTCCTTTTCTGTGGTCACATAAACTTTTAATTTCACCTATTACATATTAAGAGAAGCAAATACATGTACACAGTGTAATAGACAGAACTATACATACTATAACATTTAAATTCATACTCAATTAATGCATCCATAAACAAGTATGTAATTCAACAAACTGAAGCTGAAATGTGAAATAGTTATTTTTAGCTTTGAATTTCTGCAGTAGTCATGTGTGATCATGCACACATGTCGCTCAAACATGACCCATTGGTTTAAATGTCCAGAGTGCAATCTCAGGAATAACAAATCTATTCTTGGTCTTTCTCTTCACCATGTGTGATGACGTGGACCAGGTTATTGTAGTCCAGATTTCCTGCCACATCTGGTGGAAAAGCCGCAAACATCTGTTCCATCTATGGGCATGAAGGAAGGAAAAAAAAAAAAAGGAGAAAAAAAAACAACGTTTTTGAGTGAAGAATATCTTTAATCAAAATTCAACGGTGTCATACTCTAACATTGTGTGAGGTGGAGCTCTAACCTCTTCGGGGGAGAACCTGTCTGCCTGGGTTGTTAGCATCTCTGTCACGCTGTAAAGACAAGCAGTGATGGTGAGCAGACTGGACATTCACTTCTTCCAACACTAGAGCGCTACACTGTTACTCACAAGTCTTTCTTTAACGATCCTTTTCCCTCAGGATCAAAGACTTTGAAAGCGTTGAGGATGGTCTCCTCCGGGTCAGCGCCTAAAGATGAACAGTGGCAGCTCTGAGTTGATGAAAAATTTAAACAAAGGTAATGTCCTTTTTCCCCCCAAGAAATGCTATGGTCCTGAATCTCTATATATAATCAGGCTCTGGACTATACAGAACAGCCCACTCACCTTTAAGCTTCTCTCCAAACATGGTGAGAAAGACTGTGAAATTAATCGGTCCTGGTGCCTCCTTCAGCATCTCATCAATCTCTTCTTGCTTGACATTTAAACGGCCTAAAGAAGGATGGCAGATAAGGTGTAATAGGGTTTGGAGCTGCAACTAATTATTATTAACATTATTGATTTATCTGTTGTTTTCTAGATTCATTGAGATGAATCGATAAAATGTTCAAAAAAGTGAAAAATGACCATCGTAATTTCCCCCGAAAACCTGAGGTGGCATCCTCAGCTGGCTTGTTTTGCAATAGTCCAAAACAAAATATATATTCAGTTCCCATTACATCAGACAAAGACAAGCAGCAGAAACCCCTATTGCTTGAAACATCTTATGACTATGGACCAATCGCATCAGCTCTAACAAGATTCACAACTGGGTATACTTATATGAAATGTGACGATGAAAAACCCTCACAACACAAAATAGATATACACAGATAAACAGACACACAGGTGGTCTTACCTAAAGCTGCAAAAGTGTCTCTCAGGTCGTTCTTGTCAATGAAACCGTCTCTGTTTTGGTCCATGATAGTGAAAGCCTGCAGAAGGTTTATGGTTACGTCTCCTGTATGCACTGTCAGCATTCACCAGTAAACTGCTCAAATTCAATGTGAAAGACAACATTTAGGCCAAGCACTGACTTCTTTGAACTCCTGGATCTGGGCCTGTTCAAACATGGAGAACACATTGGAGCCGGCTCCCTCGGCTCTCTTCTTTGCTTTCTTCGGGGCCTGTAGGGTTTGACAGTGACACTCGATTAAGATCCAGTACTAACGGAGCAATCACCACCTGTCTCCCCGCTTCAGCTTCACTCATTATCGGTTTTACTGTGACACGTGCGCTCACGGTACCGAGCCAATGATCAGCAAACTTACCAAGTGTGGGGGCATTAATTGCACAACGGGCAAGGTTTATACCGGAGCATGCATTTCATTAGGAGGGATTACTAATACTGTCAGTTTGTTATGGAAATATTTACTCATGCCTCCAATTTTGTGAGAATGCAGACTAAGCCTGGGGAGGGTGTGGTCCGCTGCCTGCACTCCCACAGTCCCAGATTCACATGAGGGATTATTTTATAGGGCCTGGGTGATGACAGGATGGTACACTGAGCCCTGTTTGATCAGAAATCCCTCGGGGACAAGGATTATGTCAAGTTATTTACATGACTGCCAAGGAACTGTGAAAAACAGTGTAAGGGGATGCAGCGTGATGACATCATATTGCCTGGATTCACAGGCCGCACGACAGCTGCTGTCTAGCCCTTGTTGTGGATTAGCTCTTGAGCACTTGTATATCTCATGGACAGGACCTCTGGCGCTCAGCATCTCTTATTTCTTTATTTTGTTTTAAGAGGATTCATGCAATCATGGGATGCGAGGCAAAATGTGCTGTTTCTTGATACTGCCCAGTGCAGACCGTCCTGAGAGGACCGATGGAAGCTGGATTGATCAAAAATAATACATTCAGTCATTCTTGGCCTGTTTGTAGCATGTACCTGTTGCTCTTCTCTTCTTCTTTCCTTTCCTCCTCTCTCCTCTCCTGTTCCTCTCTCCTTTCATCTCAATCTTCTCTCCTTTCCTCTTTTTTCCTCCTCTCCTCATTTCCTTTCCTCTCCTCTCAGGTCATCTCCTTAGTTTCTGTCCTTTTCTCTACTCTTCTCTTGTCTCTTTGCCTCCTTTTTCCTCTCCTCTCATTTCTTTCTACACTTATTTTGTCCCCTCTCCTTCCCTTGTTTCCTTTTCTTTCCTCAATAGTCCTCTCCTCTCCTTGTTTCCTTTCCTCTTATCTCCTTTTCCTGCTTACAATTACCAATTCATAATTTTCTTTTAATTTCAGCTTTGTGAGTAGACAACAATAATCAATAAGTATTCAATAGTACAACGGGAGTCCTGTCCTATTGATTATTTATTTTTCTGGTGATCTGTATTCAGTACCCATGAGCATATTGACATGGAGAATATTGATTCATTGTCATCAGTGTGAGTGGAGCAAGATGTATAATTCATCAAAACATGCCGTGACAGTATATTATAAATATTTATTTGTATAATATACTATATAAACGCATGCAAGCAAAAACAGAATGTCTCCTTACAGTGTGGTGGTACTTTAAACAAGATTAAATGCAATGACAATGAAATCTGTGTCCACTCACCATGTTTCAGTGGTAGCTAGATGAGTATCCTTGCTGCTTTATGATGGAGCGGCACACAAAATGAGGGGTAGATATACTCTCCCCTCCATAATGGCGCATGCTTATGGTCTATAAATACTCCATGCCCTCTTTAGGCAGAGACGCAGGTAAAGAAGACTATGCCTTCTCTGCCACCACCCCCCATTGTCAAAGTTCATGCGATTTAGGGATAATAGCCAAACACACATACCCCCTCACTGAGACCCCAGAATAACAACAGGACATAGCTTTGGCTCAGGAAGGACAGTTGTGTTTGTGACTGACAGTTGCACTTGATGGGATCCATCAGCCAGCTGTCCTGTTAGTGCTCCACAGGGACCAAAACTATGTGATGATGGGATCTGTTTCTTGGTAGCACAATAAATGGAACTGTTAACTAAAGCTCTCTGAACCCCAATAAGACTTGAACCCATGGTGTGGAAAACATTATCGGCAAACGTTGCTCATGTGATGTGTTTCATGAATGATGTCGTTTAGCTTTTCTCCTACAACAGTGTTGGACAGTTATCCATCCACGAAACAGATCACAGATTACTGTGAGGTGTATGAGGTGAAATTGTTTGTGATCAAAGAAGGCAAGGTAAGTGGATTTTGAGTGGAAAAGTCAAAAATCAAAGTCAAAAATCAAAGAAGATATATGTGAAAGTCAAATCCCAGTTATTACCTTTGTACATAGGTGTAACTTATTTGTTATACACTTGTATTATTTACAAGTTAATCTAACAAATGCTCAAAACCTTATAATACAATGACATCTAATACAACACAACAACCTCAAACGTAACTAAATCAACATCACACACCCACAGTCAACATTTTAAAGCCCTCCTCCGGCCAAAAATGTGTTTTGCTTATTCTAACTTGACATGTTTGAGCTTCACTGTGCAGAATGATGTATGTGCAGAGTGTGCCACTTGTAGGCTGTTTTCACATTCATCTGCCGAAGGGGAAAGTTTCTCCTTGCTCACCATAAGTCTCAGTTTAAGAAGTGTGTGCACAAGCAGGATAATACCTTGGTAACTAATCATGGTCCAGTGTGCAACTTAAAGATGTTTTTTTTTCACTATTTCTGCTATAATTGATAGATTGTCACAGAAGAGAGGCAAGAAAGAGAGAGCGGGGAAGACATACAGCAGCACTGCGGGAACGACTTGATACATAGACGCTGCACCAGGTGAGTACTGGGGCGCCACAGTATGCAACTTACACAGTGTGATGTGGAAAATTTAAGCCTCCAGTGCACATACCCTGAGGCTACACTGAAATAAATCACATCTTGTGTCCAGCAGCTGTGTGTACAGCAGATTTTCAGAGGGAGAACGAGAGATTTCTGACAAAACACATCATACATAAAATATCAGAAAATATATTCAAAGCAGAATATATATGTTCTTGAATATTACAATTACAATTGCATTAATTTATATTTTTGTGACTGAATTACAGCCATTTTGACATATTATAGCATGAAAAGCACAGGTGTAATTAATAACCTCCATTAAGGCCGCATCGCAATTAGATGTTCCAGTCACAGGGTCCTGGTATTGTGTATAATGGCTCACAGGCATGACTTACTGGAACATCGTTAATGTTATTAGTTCCACCTGCGCTTTCCCTGCTTTGACCAGTCAAAACGTCTACTGTGACAAAGGCCTATAGGCTACCCAGCAGAAATGACAAATGCTTCAAATTTTCCCAACTGGCAAACAGCGACAGATTTTAAGCCTGTACAAAAGCATGACAACAACTATAGTGGACAATGTTTGTCCACACCACTAATATTTAGTGACATGTGGAGTGTTCACACACGCACACTGCAGACTCCTTTATTTCTTTGACCATTCATTTACCTGTTTTGTCCAGTGGGTAGTGCTAGCAACCCACAGCAGGAAACAGCTCAACTACCATGGAGGTCTGACTTGCTGTTTCTAGTTGTCCCATCTGATTTTAAACAAATATCATTTGGGAATTTAAGATATTTCATTATGTTGATATAATTTCTATTTATTAAAATTGCACGACATTATCACATTTTCTAATGAATATTTTAATAAACCTTAATATGATCCACTAATCACCCACGCAGCAAAATATTGTTTTTAATACAGGTAAAGTGCAGGAGCATCGTTACTTTCATTACTGTAGACGAGTCCTTGCATTGCTTGGTTCAGCTACACAGGACATACCTGTATTTGTGAAAGTAGTGTTACAAAGTGTGATGATTCTCTGCATAACATAAAGGGGTTTAGCTCGTCCTCCCTTGATGAGAATGCACGTGGATGCATCCTTCTGGAGAACTATGGGTTCCAGACTCTTACAGTAAATAATATTTTTTCCAGGTTAAGTAAGGTTTGATAAAAGACTAATGGGGTGCATATAATTATAGTAAGACTTAGCCTTGCTTCTGTTAAGTGCTATGTCATGCTGCTATACATGTGAACCTGCTCAGTCAAAGCCTTTCACATTTTGGCAGGCCATCATTCTATTTTGTTTTAACCCGCTAGTTTGGTCCAATAAAGGTTGCTATGGTAACCAAAGTAATAATTGCTTAAAAAGTAACTGAAAATGGTCAAACTTTAACACGCAGTCAAAATAAAGGAATTAAGTAAGCCTTCCAGAATCCAGGTGCAAAGGTCTTTGTGACGTTGCACATGTTGTCAGATCCTTCAGAAATGAATCTCCGTCCAACTGATGACTGAGTGGATCTAAGAGAATACTATACATATCCTCCAGGATACCAAGAGACAATGGATCTTATAGTTAACAATTTGTTTGCAGAACTGTGGTTTGGGCTTTTTACCACCATGAAATCACAATACAAGCTCAAAGAAGCTGCCACCACTCATCAGCGATTTGCCATTTCATTAAATATGCTGTCAGCACTTTCAAAGAAACACAGTCATTTCAAATCCCTCATTCAGCGACCTCATCAAAACAATGATTTTCTCGCTTTTGGATAATTTCCCTTCTGTGCGCGCAGTCCTCATTTTAAGTAATCAGACATTACTCTTTAGATTGTATTAATTTGAATGAGGTGATGAGGTTACTGGAAGAGGCCCGTAGTGCTTTGTTTGAGACAGCGGTGAATGTGAGGTCATGATTATATTCAGAACTACAGATCTGATTGAGTCCATGACATTCAGCAATGTTTCATAAGGCAGAATGTGGATTCAGAGGCCTGACAGACAAAGCATCAGCCTCTGGAGATGGATACTGTGGGTTTAGGTCCCACCTGGGTCCCCACAGGGCCTGGGTGCTCTACATTCCTGTGTAGCCAGAACAGAATGTGTGAACACAAACACTTTGCTGAATCTTTTGTTGGTGTGAGCAGGTTGTGCTGTTTGGTTCAAAGACAAGGTCAGAGATTCAAAGTAAATAAAACAATATGTACTGTACGCCCTTACTTCCTGAAGTATACTGATCCAGAGCTTCAGCCTGTTCCTGTGTCACTCTTCACTCCCAGCCGACGCTGCCCTTTCACCCCTCTGTTGAAGTGTGTCTCAGAGAATTCCTGTATGTAAGGAAACAATTAGTTAATCAAAAAAAAAAAAAAGTGGTTGATCCTGTCCTCTACTCCAACGCTAATTAGCATAAATGCTTGATTTTGAAGTATTAATGTTTCAAAACTAAGTCAGGAAATCACCAAACTAGGGAGAAATTTGCTATTTCTTATTCATCATCTTTGTCCATACCTTTATGAGTCAATAAATTATAAACTGTCTCCTATTGCTCAATTCAGTTTTTTTGATGTATCACTATCTTCCCTATTATATTTGCATCCTGCATTTTAGCATCACCCTAGAGCCACAAATAAAATGCAATAAGCAAAACTTTTAATAATCTTCCTTCACTTTCCCCTTAGGCGTCTGTCTACGGCAAAGGAATATGTCATTGTCCCCCAAGGTGCTAAAAATATGACCCATGAGGATATTATTTTTTTTTTTACCCGGGACTGATTTTCATAAAGGATATCAGCTAGAAGCTACTGTACACTGAGATGTGCATGGTGATCAGTAGGTGGAACATGGATTAAACCATTGGTTTTGATGGATACCTTCACTCAGTGATAATAGTATAATTAATGGAGGAAATCTCACAATGTGCACATCACCTTGCTTCTAATACTGTGGCGTCAGCAGGGGGAGCACCTGGCACAAGTGTTCAAGCAGTACTACAGTATGTGTGCTGCCTGACCAGAGGAATGAGTTGTTTTAAGTAGACAAAGAGTACCCTCATGCTTTATTAAGTTAGACAAAGTCAAATATGTGAGTTTATATCTGCTTAGAATGTTGCTGTCATTAACTTTTATGTGTAATTTCATAAAGACATTTTTTTTGTTTCAATCAGAAAGCATGTTGTTATGCTATTTTATTACATACATACTTTTATATTATCATTTTCTTCTCCTTATATTAATGTACAATTAAACAAAACGATCAATACAGCCAGACATGCCTTCATCATCTATATAAATGGATGGCCCCCAAAATCTAAAAATAGTAAAATAAATAAATAAATAAAAACATAATCACAACATATAAAATGTTAAATATCAAGAGGGGCCTTAAACCTGGGCTATTTTTACAAGTAGTCAAATAAAGTCAAGCTATAGTTATTGGGTTTTGTACATAGCACTCTGAAAGAATAAAGTAGTAATAACAATAAATTTAGAAAAGCCTATTTAAGTTACATTTCCTTTAAAATATAGGGCAGAGGGTTTAATATGTGGCTATTTTGTGTGGGGACTAAGTGACACTGTAATAATAGTTTCACTACAAGATAAAGTCTATTTTAATTTCCAAGGCTGCCTCTTAATTCTACTGTCCCATGTGCTCCTGTATAATAAACACGTAAAAAAAAAAAAAAAAAGTAGGCTTGGCTTAAATCCCCTGAACTCTGCTAATCTACACATCATCTCCTTCCCTTTTCCAGACGGTATTGATCATCCCTGGGCTTTACGTCAGTATTGATAACTTTGCCAAAGCAAAATCAAGTGCAATTGTCCAGTTAATGTTGGGGACGGAGGCACGGATACACTTGCTCTTTACTTTT